CAAAAAAAAAAGTTATTTTAGTAGTAATCAACTTTATCTGTAACACAAGGCTTAAATATAAATTTGTTTCCATTTAGTCATGATAAAGATATATATCAAATTACCAAAATGTGTCAGGCCAGAAGCTTTGATGAGTACAAGATCTATCTCAAAAACAATTTCCAATCAAACTGCCAATGTCTCTCAACTAGTATTTATTTACTTTCAATAAAGGACATTCCTAAAGACCTGTAACATCTGTTACCTATATTTTTTTTTTCAGTAAAACCAAAATTTTCATTTTGTTTTCAACCTGCCATTGGTACAGCTCAGGCCCAGGAGGATCACTGTGGCCCATCTTCCAGATCCCCTAAATCCTCTTATCCTACGAACAGCCTGTCTTCAGCCACTGGTGCCTAAACAATCCTCTTATGTATCCAAAGTATCAATTCAGTAAGAGGGAGGAGGTTAGGAAACTACTCTCTTCTCCATTTAGGACTCTACCTTTGCTCACAGCTGTATTTCAGGCATCTACTTCAGTGACTGGCACAGAGTAGGAACCCAAATATTTGTCAATGGACAGATAAATGAGTAAAAGAACAAAGCACAGATTAATACTGTTTAAGAGCAACTTACAGAGGTTTGGGTGATAAGGTTTTCAAATTTGTATTCTCTTTTTTCCATGCTCCAGAGAAGAGGCCTTGTGAACCATACAGAAAGGATAAGCTATATCCAAAATCTCTTCTGTTCAGTGCACAGCTCCTCTTTTTTTTTAGATCAAGCTAGTCACCTTGGATCTCTCCTCCTTTAAAGTTCCCACCAAAAGGTTCTTCTTTCCTAATGACTAATAATATCAATATAAGCCTAGACACACACATGTTCAATTCCCCACACAGGTTCATAGCAGAAATGACCCTTTATAAATTATTGGAGTCATTCTTTGAATAATGTTTTTAAAAAGCCCATATAAAATTTGGTGGAGCAATAAACAAGATCTAGAATCAACACTGCATTTAATGCAGCAATTAAAATGACGCAAACAAAACTGAAAACAAGATCTATTTAATCTATTTGATGATTTCCCTAAATGTGTGTACATTTCTCTTTTAGATAAATTGTACTACACTGTAAAATCCTAAAGGATAGAGCTATAAGGCTATAACCATAAAAGCGGCACCTTGGTATTCTCAAATTTAACAGTCAGAATTTCAACTATTTGGGAACTTCCCCTAAGGACCGCATCATGAAGTAAGTTATAAATTTATAAGAAGAAAATGTGAAAGAGCTGTTTTAACCAATCCATCTCAAAGGAGCTGTGTGCTTGTTTTGTTTATTCAGAAAACATAGTAACTCATGAGTAAGACTCTTCTGAAGTATGGTAACTTGACTTCACCTTGCCTCACAGTTTTCCTTTATCTTCACTATGCAAATAATACATATGCTGTTTAGTGGGAATATTATTCATCATAAACTCTTCGGTTTTGAAAATTCAGTTACATTTTAGCCTTGATCATAATGACAACGTAACATAGTGTTTTGTTTCCTTCCACTGCAGATTTTAATAGCTTATTAAATAACTTTTGAGGGTTTGAGCCTTATGACTTTCCCCATGAACATCAAGACTATGATTGTGTCTTTCATCTCCCTCAGGACTATAGTATGTCTTATATACAGTAAGCAATCAGTATCTGTTGAATTACTCTTAAGCTGAAGTAAGACTTTAAGATTAACTCCCAATTTAAAGCCTTAAAAAGATTCCTAATAAAAACAGGTTATGGAAAATGTCCTTTTTAGAGATTTATACTGAAATATTTTTAGATGAAACATGTCAGGATCTGCTCCAGCAAAGAGGAAAAGCAAACGTGGCAACACCTCGGGAACTGTTAAATATGAGTGAAGGGTATATGGGAATATGTTATACTATTCTCTCAACAAGAGTATATTTGAAATTTTCTTAATTAGGAAAACTGTCTAACTGGTTAGACAGTTGATCCTTGAACAACACACATTAAACCGTGTGGGTCCACTTATATGTGGATTTTTTCAATAAATATACAGTCGGCCCTCTGTATCCCTGGGTTTCATTTGCAGGTCCAACCAACCATGGATCTATAATATTGTTTTCGATCTCCCATTGGGATTCTGCAAATGCGGAGGGCAGACTATGTGCATCGTTTTACATCTTTTTATGTAAGAAACTAAAGCATCCACAGATTTTGGTACCCATGAGGGTCCTGGAACCTATCTCCCTTGGATACCAAGGGACAACTGTAGTTAACTTTTGGGGGAGTCAAAAACTATACACAGATTTTGGACCGTGCAGGGGTTGGCACCCCCAACACCTACGTTGTTCAAGGGTAAACTATGTATCAAAATTACACAGCAAAGAATCTAATAAGATCAGTAGGTCAAGACCTTAACTCTATGCCAAGAAAATACAAAAGGAATGAAACTAAGTATACAAAGGTCTTGGCTTCTAGAAAAATACAGTGATTAAAAATGCAAACATCTATATTCAAATTATGCTATAACTAAAATTTCTACTTCAAAACTTTAATGGTGCTTATACTGATTAACCTAGAATAATAAAGATTATAAATTCGTAGAATCATATAACTTTAAAACAAAAAATTTTTTAAAGAATCATAAATTTAAGTGTCTGGGTCAAAATTCCAAAGCTGCTTAGTACAAAGAAACATTCTTCACTGGAAAACAGGTCCTCTCATAATTATTAACCTATTTTCCAAAAACAAGTGAAATATATTGATCTCGAAAGATCTTTTCATTTGTTAGGTTTGGATTACTCCATTTACCTCAGCACTTACCTTTGTGGGTTACACATCACGTCTACATGATATTATTTGGTTAATAAATTTATAATTACATTAGAATTATTATTTGTACCTTATATTTCCTTGCTTTCATAAACTTTAGATCTTGATTTTAACTGTACTTAAACGTAAACTTTTTTATATTCAGGTTTGTATAAGAAACATACTATTTTATAGAAAATGATCCCTTTTATGTGACAAATCAAGCTCAATTATGTTACTGCAAAACAATTTTCCCTCGCCTATTGATTCTGTAATTTGTCACCCCTGAAAAGAACTTAATCTATTTTAATGTAGAAGAAAAATATGATATAAAATTATTGGGACACACTGAACAGCTTGTGCCAGTTTTAAGTGTACACTGCACTACTTTGCCCTAGCAACTACCTCAACAATGAACTTACGTTTTTTCAATGTGGAAAACTAATTTAGTACATGAAAACCATCTTGGCATTACCGCAAACATTTATTAAAAGAAAGATTTTTCTGTATTTCGGATTATCAAAATAACAAAGGCTATTTTATTAACTAGCAAAATTGCTTTTTATAATAATGTCTTCCCGCATATGCTATCTTCAATTAAACTACACATCTTGTACCCCAACCTCATAGGACGAGACTGTCCTCCTAGTCTACACTATGTTTCAGGTTCACCTACTCCACTCCAAAATAAAAGGTGCTAAGCTGAACTGTTTTTTCCCCAGGTATCTTGAGTTTTGTATATTCTCCCAAAACTCCTATTTTGAAGTTTTGCACTATACTACACTTTGAAATCTAGCAGGTATCTAAGAACAAGTCTCTTCTATTGTTTATTCATTTAATTAACAGTTATTGAGAACCACTACTTACTTGCATTCTTCTAAGCTTGATAGTAGGGCTATAACGGTAAAAGCTAGAGTCCTTCCCATAAAACTCATAGTGTAGTAGATCTCAGAAAGGTAATTATGACTTAGCACTGTGCTGGAAATAAGTGCAATATGCTGGGTAAACCCATATTTCATGCTACATGGAGAGGAAACAGCCTCACAGTACAAGAAAGCCAAACAAGAAAGTTGAAGTGGTCAGGAAGCTAACTCAAACAAGGCTCCTGATTAGACATAACCTGTAGAGCTTGCCTAGGCTAAATATAAATTATACCTGAAAACCAAGGCAACACATTAGGAGAGTACAACTTGAAAAAGCAAAACTAAGAATTAAAACTTCTTTAGAAGGGCAATAAAGAGTTAACTGTAACGGAATCTTCTAGATATGTGACTTTTATATGGAAAACTTCCAATATAAAAACAACTGAAAGGGTCTAAGGTGGGGATAAAGGTGAGAAAAATCAACAAAAAATTCACAGAAAGACTTGAGAGGATAAACGGTCCATTTCTTTACTCCTAGTTAGATATCAAGCAAAAGTGATAATGATTGTTTGTCCTCGGATAAACAAGATTGGCTATTTAAACTTTCTGGGTTAAAAATAAAGAGAACATAATGTGGTTCTGGATTAAACTTTGATGTATATAAAAATCGTCTTGAGAGCCTGTTAAAAATTCGGATTGCTAAGCTCTATTATCAAAGTGAGGATTCCAAAGGTAAGAACACTGTTAAAAATATTTTGAGGCTCACCAGTATTACATGGTACAGTCCAAAATGTTAGGTTGAGCAGTATGAAAATTGCTGTTTTGGAAGAACAAGATGTTTGTCAAATACAAAAGTGCCAAAGCAACTGAATGAAGAAAGGAAAGCATTTTCAACAAATGGTGCTAAAACACTCAATAAGGGACTACCACCCCCAGTTATGTCAGACTCCTTCCTACATCTGCTCTACATCCACCAGTTATCCAGGCATGCCAATTTTAACTTCCTAAATGTCAACTCTATACTCTCCTTAATGTTCCCTTTACCAATAGTCCGCTTAAGAGCTTTATCATCTCATCTGAACTACTTTGATAGCCTCAAACCAGTCTTTGCCTTCAGACTGTTCTCTACCAACCAATCCTCCTCACTGACAATGAAGTAATCTTAATGGACAGATCACTAGCCAGCTTAAATTCTTTCAGATGTTATCTATTATTCTGAACCTTTTGAGAGCAATTATAAAAAATTTGTAATCTTTCAATAAAATATTTAGAGAGGTAAAACTATAAATGTTTTTATACAAGTAGCAGTTTTCATAATTAAATTTAACTGTGCTAAATCACTTACATCATAAAACAGTTTTCTATCAGCAGCCAGCCGTTTAGAGGCCAAAGTCTTAGTAACATGATAGAAGGTAAGTAATGCTCTGTGCTGTCGAAGATCATCCTGGACTTTCACAGATTCTATAAGAGTGGGAATCAGTTCAGGCCACTGTCGGGGACAGTCCAATCGAGCAACTTTTGCAATCAGCACTGCAATCTGAGTTGCAATCTAGAGGGGAAAAAAACTAATCATCAGAAATAAACATATATAATCAAAGCAATTGATAAGGAATGCATTCCTGGTTGTAAATCTCCTTTTTGGTTAATTATATATGTGATCGAAGTGAACAAAAATTTCACTAAACAATTGCTTAAGACAGTGGTTCTCAAAGTGTGATCTATGGATCTCTGGAGAGGCCTAAAACTCTTTCAGGAGTCTGTGAGGTCCTTCCTTTCCCAGTATTATATCATTTCCTTCATACAGCTTCTACCAAAATAATATATCACAACAGAGTAAATGAAGAAGCAGATACAAAAGCCTAGATGTCTTCTTTTAAATAGCCAGACATTAATGAGATATGCAAAAATGCAGAACGATGCAACTCTTCCCATTAAATTATTTATTATTTGCAGAAATAGCCATTGTTCATTATTTAAAATTCTATTTATGTTAACAAATAATGGTTTCATTATTTTTAATAAATATTTTAAATTTTTTCAGGTTTAATTTCTGATACAGTAAATATCAACAGTTATGATCCTTTAGGGTTTTATTTTAGCAGTATAAGGAACTCCTAAGATCACAAAATTTGACAACCACTGACCTAAGAGTAGAAATGAACATCAAATATTAGGTATCTAAATAATAGTATCTGTTCAGATCAGTATTTCCCAAATGCTGGCTGACAGAACATCTAAGCAATAGTTTACCCCTCAATCACCCAAACCCTTTCTAACCACCCCTGCCCCAGAGAGAGTTACTCTTCATCTTCCCTCATCTCCTTCAGGAACTATAAAGCAGAAAACTGAGATCATTTAAATAGGTTGAAATAAAACTGCACTGGATAAACCACCAAGTACAGTGTGCCTTATGATTCGAATTTAAAAAATCAAATATAAAAAATAGTAGTAACCTGCAAAAATTTAAGAATTTTTGTATCTCTAAGCAAAATTTATTTTATTCTGAAATCATCCTGTTGTTTTAGAAAAAGAGGGAGAGGAATCATCTAAATCATCAAATTTAATTTCTATGCAATAAGACTATAAATAAATAAGATATTTGCTTTCAATACTGGTTCAAAAACTGAGGAAGTGTAAAAAGTGTACAAGTACATCTTAAAATGACTTCTCAGTTTTAAATAATTAACAGCCAAATCTAACCAAAATTCTTAACAGCTAGAACTAGATTTCAAAATTAAAAAACCAATAGAGTAGTGTATACAAACATCACAAATGAATATTATGTAATAAGGTTTTACTTTTAATGCCAAGAAACAAAATTAGTTTGGAAAGGAAGCAAAAATTAAGGGAATTGAAAGAATAGTTAGCATTCATTTTCTCACTAACCTGGTTTATTGGTTCATTGAAGTTAGTGATCAGCCCTGCACGCAATGTAGTTTTCTCTTCCTCTGAGAGAGCACTGTAAAAAGAATGATTTATTATGAAAGACAATGCTATATAACAATGAAGGCAGGTAAGCACTACTATGAATTTTAACAATAAAATGCTTTTCAAACAAGGTGCCCCTCATTGTTTTTGGTATATAAATAAAATAATTTCTATTGCTTGTACACTGGCACATTAAGTTATTCAAAAGCATAAATTTCCTTCACAACTGAATAAATAAGACACAAAAAGAGTAAGTCATAGGAAATAAGACAAATCCACAGTAATGAATGTAATGTTCGCTTTTATTATGTAAAAAGTTGCCTACAAAAAAAATTAATGGTTGGCCAAAAACAATCTGTAAGAGTACATATTAGTCTTCCACTCACTTCTTTTATAAAATCTGAGTGAGGTTATTATTCTTTGAGGAAAGAGATCAGGAATCAGATAATATCTGGAATGGAAGATTCGTTAGAAATCAAGTAGTTTAAAATCTTATACATTTTACATATCTAGAAAGGATAAACACAATAATGATAGTTTTGACTGCAAATGAGGAAGGACAAGGATGGAGTCACTGTATAAGACTGCATACATTTTGATTTTTGAACTATATGAATATATTGTTTACTTAAAAATTAAATTTTAAAGCCCCCATTTTAAAGTTTCATTCTGGCAAATGAATCCTCCTAATAAAATCAGCTATAAAAGCTGTATATGATTTTTTAAAAAGTTTTAAGATATCTGTTGAGGTGAACTGTGTCCTGGCAAAAAGATAAGTTCAAGTGGCTAACCCCAAGAACCCGTGACTATGACCTTACTGGAAACCGGGGCTTCGCAGACGTAATTAAATTAAAATGAGGTCATGCTGGATTAGGGTGGACCCTAATCCAATGACTAGTGCCCTCTATAAGGAGAGGAAAATCTAGACAGAGACACAGAGGAGGCATGTGGAAAGAAGTCTATGTGATGATGGAGGTAGACACTGGAGTGATGCAGCTGCAACCCAAGGAACATGAAGGACTGCAGACCACAACTGGAAGCTAAAAAGAGACTAGGAAGGATTCTTCCCTAAAGCCTTCAGAGTGCGCAGAGCTCTGCCAAGCACCTTATTTTTAGACTTCTAGCCTCCTGAACTGTGAGAGAATATACTTCTACTGTTTTAAACTACCAGTTTGTGTTAGTTTCTTAAAGGAGCCCTAGGAAACTAATACAGCATCTAAAAACAACAAAGGCAGCCAGAACTTAAGATATGGGATCTTAGGCAAAGCAGAAAGGAGTCTGATGAACTAGTACATTTCTCCATGAGATATTTGCCCACAAGAACTCAAGCTGAAAGTAGCAGTTAAAAGAGACTAAAAGAGCTAAGGAGAGGTCTGACAGTGCTGGAAAGACAAAAATTGAGCCCAGCAACAAGGCAATACTTTGATAAACACCCAAGAGTTGCAGCAGAAACCCCAGGATGGCTAAAACCTGAGATTAAGAGTAAATCAGCAAGAGACCATCTTCAACTAGATCAAGGTTGAAGTCATATCCTCCTATCTGCTCACCCAGAGAAAATGACATTCTCTCCAGATAAAGAGAATAGAATTCAAAGGCTCTCCAATTTCCCCTATACAATGTTTGGCATTCAACCAAAATTCACCAGACATACTATGAAACAGGAAAAAGTGACTGAAATCAAAACACAAATAGAAACAGGTGATACAAACATTGTAATTATCAAAATTACCCATAAAATATGTATGATTACATTCAAGAAAATAGGTAAAAAGTAGAGAATTTCACCAGAGAACTGGACTCTGTTTTTAAATTAAAATATACCAAAGGAAAAGCCTAAAACTGAAAATACAATAAATGAAATAAAAGTAACTGAAAGATCATTCAGTGGAAAAAAATTCAGGTTGAAACCTAATGAGAAAAAAAGAACTGCTTTTCAGAGAGTTTACTGACAATGTACACTAAAAAATACTAAAGGCAGTTCTTCAGGCAGAAGACAAATGAAACCAAATGGAAACCTGGCAACAGTGAAAAGAATGAACACTAGAAAGGTAAATTTAAATGAATACTGCTGACAAAATAATATAAAATAGTATATATTGTGGTGTTTAAAAATATGTGTTGAATTAAACTACTCAACCACAGCATAAAAGACAGGAAGGTGTAAATGAAGTTAAAGTATTACACAGTTTTTTCATTATCTTGAAAAAGTAAAATACTAATTGCAAGGATAGTCTCTAGTTAAGTCAAGGATGCATGTTATAACTTCTAGGAAAATCACTTGAGTAATAAGTGTCCTAATCTTGTGGAGGGGAAAACTGAGTAACAAAAAAATTCTTAAATTTTTTGAATACAAAGGAAATTAACTAACAAAAAATTTCTTAAATTTTTTAAATACAAAGGAAGGCAAGAAAGAAAAAAAGGGAGGGGGGAGAGAGATCAGACAAAAACAAACAGAAAACAAATAGTTGATGGTAGACTTAGTCCCAATTTTTTCAGTAATTGCATTAAATGTAAATAGACATAATACTGAAATTAAAAGACATCAGATTGGATAAAAACCAAAACCCAACTATTTCCTTTTTATAAGAGAAACATTATAAATGGAACACAAATAAATACTGAAAGAAAAAGAAAAAGATATACTATGCAAGTATAAACTTACTGGTGTGGCTCTATTAAAATCAGACAAACTAGACTTTAACTCAAAACACATTATTAGAGAAAAAGAGGAACATTTCATAATTAGGACAAGGTCAATTCTACAGGAATATAAAACCTCTGAACCTATATGTTCCTAATAATATAGCCTCAATATATAGAGAGCAAAAACAGAATGAAAGGAAGAAACAGGCAAGTCTATAATTGTAGATTAACACACATCTCTCAGTAAATGATGAGAAAAGTAGCACAAAATCAATAAGGATATATAATATTTGAATAGCATAATTAACAAATTTGATCTAATTGACATACATAAAACATTACAATCCACACACATTCTTTTCAAATGCACATAAAACATTTACTAAAATACCACATGATGGGATCATTTAAAAAAAAAAAAGAAAAGAAAAACAAAGCCTAGCACATTTCAAGGAATGAGATCAGTAACAACAATAACTGAAAAGTCTCATATGTTTGGAAATTAGGTGATATATCTAATTAACCCACGGGTCTAAAAAGAAATCATAGGAGAAATTTTAAAATATTTTTAACTGAATAAAGCCATGACTACGATGAATCTTTAATGTTTTAAATGCATATTTAAGAAAAAAAAATGGAAAACCAATTATCTAAGCTTTCATTTCAAAAAGCTAGAAAAAGAATATAAAATTAAAATCCAAAAAAGTAACTGAAAATATATTAAACCTTATAAAGTACAATAACTAAAGCAAAGATAGACAAATAGTCCAATAGGACAAAACAGAGAAGCCAAAGCAGAGCCAAACATAGGCAGTGTCTGATTTATAACACATTTCCCTATCACTGAAATGTGATAGGGAAAGGGTAATACATGGTGTTGTCCTTACTCCACGTAAAAACCTTACCCAGAAATCACTTCTAGATAGAACTACACCTAAATGTGAAAAGTAAAAAAGCTTCTAGTAGAAAATACAGAATATTTTCATGACTCTGGGGTGAGTAAATTTTGTAAATAAGCCACAAAAGAATTAATTATAAAAGGAAGGTAGATAAATTAAACTTCATTAAAATTAAGAACTTCTCTTCCTCAAAAACACCAAAGAAAGTGAAAAGGCAAGTCACACACTGGGAGAAGATATTTCCTCCAGTAAGTATATTCAACAAAGGACTTATATCCATAACATATACAAAGTCACACAAATCAGTAAGATAATCCAATTTTTTAATGTGCAAATGGCAAGCTCTTCACAAAAAAAGGATATCCAAATGACTACTAAATATATTAAAAAGGTATTCATTTGTCATCAGGAAAATGCAAAAATTACCAAGCACACCAGCATGACCAAAATGAAAGACAGATTGGACCAAATGCTGATGAAAATGTGGAGTAAATGCCAACACTCACAAGCTGCTGGTGGGAGTGTAAATTGGTACAACCTGTTTAGAAAACTGATAGTATCTACTAAAGTGGAACATACATCTGACCATGAACGGCAATAAAATACACACTTATGTGCAACAAGACATGCAAAAGAGTTTTCAAGGAAGCATTATTTTCAACAGTCGATAACTAACACTAAGTTTAATGCCCATTAACAGCAGACCAAAGAGATTAATTGTGATATGTCCATTAAATGGAATGTTATACTCCTACATAAAGGAGTAAACTACTGCTCTATGCAACTACATGGATAAATGCCACAAATATAATACTGAATAAAGGCCGGATGCAAAAGAGAACATACTACATGATTTCTACTTGTATGAAGTTCAGAAACAGGGAAAACTAATCTATGGTTAGAGATATCAGATGATACTTAATTGGGGTGCGAGAGTGTGGAATAGGTGACCATGAGGGGGTGGGGGGAGGCTTTCAGAGTGCTAGTAATGTTCTATATCTAAGTCTTAATTACATGGGTGTGTTCACATTAAAAACATTCAAACTGTACCATCATTTATGCACTTTTTCAGTATGTTATATTTTATACTTCAACAATAGTTTTTTAAACCTTAATGGCAACTTGCTCAAGGTTAGTAAACAAATGAGAAAACAAGATTAAGATAAACATCTGGGTGAAAAGAATTAAAGCTCAATGGAAGTCTATGCTTTCCCATCAGAAATGATCCCTAATCCTTTCGTAACTGCTGTATTTTCCAACTTTAATAGCTCCCTTCTATCATTGAATCTCTGAACTGTTTTCTCCTATGTTTTGCTTCAAACTTGAAATTCAAGTTTTCTTCTATGCCAAAGAGTCAGGTTTAACAGTTTTCGTAATTTTAATTAATATAATATGATCAGCTACCAAAAAAGGGGGTGGGGGAGAGTGACAATCAGAGAGAGGGGGAATATTTAAGAAAACAAGTCATTAACATGCAGAAAACTTTGTCAATTCTCCAATAACAGTTAATATTCCACCTTTAATTTTATGCACATGCTATCATTAGATGAATTCAGACTATATAGCCCATTTACTAAAATATCATATGGTGGGATAGTATCTACTTAATTAGGACCCAGTTAAAGTTGCATTGCATACAACGATATATAAGCTTAAAGTAATCCTTATTCCATGAAAAGAGTGGTAGGAGTAGAAACTATATAAAATAAACCTTAGATAAAAATATAAACAAGCAGTCTTTTTACGTGTCAAATTTAAACAAGAGTTTGATTACTAATCTTTGCTCCCTTGCTCCCTTTCTAAGTAAATTCTTAACATCATCCCTAAATACATTCACCTCCTTTCTAGCTTGTATCTCAGCATGTACTAAGAGATAACTTGGGATTTAACAACCTAATATCATATAATAACTCCATTAATGTTTTAAACTTAAACTAAATTCGTTTCTAACTCTTTATATGAAAGAACAATCTGAAATATTTAATCATGATTTACTCTCCCTTCCAGTCATTATAAATGACTATTTTGTCATTTATAACCATATTATAACTATTTATAGTCATTTATAACCATGTTTCATAAAATCAGTAAAAAATGAATTTTAGGAAATATCTAAAATTTAGATACAGCAGTAGAAAAGTTGGTGCTGCTACACTGTTTCCAAAAACTCAATAACTGTTTCTCATCACTAAATACTTTCACTCAAAATTATGAACCAATTTTTAAATAAGGGAAGGGCTCACTGTATACTATAGTATCTTAAGTGAAGCCTTAAAATATTATAGTTGCCTATAGGAAGTGAACACACAGTGTTTACGCCTTACTGTTAAAGTATACAGCTGACTTATTGGATTTCGTTAGCCAATGTCACCATAAAAAATAAATAAATAAATAAATTTCGATTTAAATAAATAAAATAAAATAAAAAACAAAACATATTCTATTTGCTTTCGATGTCATTCGAGGGCATATTTTGTATGCACTTTGAAGTACTCAGACAAGTTTTAAGGCCTTATAAATATAAGAATGTAAAGAGCTATAGTGCCATCTATTGGAGAACAAAGACTATGTTACTTCTTCAGCAAAGTTCACTATTTCCTGTCAAAGGAATTCCAGGGTGATGTGTGCATTGTCTTTCCATCAATTACATTAAATGTAATTAATTATTAAAAGAAATCTGTTCACTTAACCACCTACAGAATAGTTATAATGGAATTTGATGAGATTATAAATGTATACTATCACATTCCCACAAAGGAAATTATGCAGAAAACTTAGGGAATTAACATCCAGCTGGCTCAGAAATGACCTGGGACTCCCTTCTCAAAGACTTCTTTCTAAAATTATAACCTCCTACATCTTAAAAAAAAAAAGAAAGAAAGAAAAGAAAAAGACTTTTTCAATATGACTCATTCACTCAGCATTTGTTTTGTACCTATAAAATTAAAGATCTTCAAAAGCACACCAATAAGAAATCTACACACCCCCTCTACCGAATACAAAAGAAATAATATAGACATTGATTTGTAATTAACTATGTAGAACAGGTTAAGGCACTTTTTTTTCTTCTAAATATCAAACACTTCATCAATTTGCATGTCATCTTAGCACAGAGAGTATGCTAATCTATATTGTTCCGATTTTAGTATATGTACTGCTGAAGTAAGCAGAAACATATTCTTTTACATAAAAAATGAAGATTGACAAGTACATTCCAATAGCTCCCTGAATTTGGAAAGGATTACACTGAGAGAAAAAAAGCAATGGAACTTACTGAGGTGCTACACGTCTCCAGTAACGATCAATTCCATTTTTAAAATACAGCACAGCAAGCCACCTTACATTTATATCCAGAGTGTGGTTTGTGAAAATATTCTGTAAATAAGAAACATTGTATTAGAATGAACGTGTAGTAAGTTGAAGGTATAGTTAATTAACACCTACAATAAAGTAGGGATAGATTTTTTAATTAAATGTTTTATTTGACTTTTGTCACTACATATATCATTATTGTTATTTTCTAAATATCTATAGCTTCTACAATTTACATAAGAAAACATACCTGCTCAGTAGACTGTTGATTGTTTAACCCAAGTAAGGGATATATGGAGATTTATTATACTATTCTACTTTTAAATATGTTTAAAAATTTTCCTAATAAATCTAAAACAAAGTAAACCTAATTATGCATCACAACCTACACACACACACACACACACACACACACACACACACAACAAAAAAAACTAAAATAAATACCTTCTAAATTAAAAAAGAAAAGTAGACCCACCACAGCATAGATTAAAAGATGTCAAGGCTCTTGGGTTATTAATACACATTATTAAATGGACTATTTCTAAGTATCTTCCTTATCAAAACAAGTATGCTCACAAATAAGTTTGATAGTAGAATATTTTTAAGTTACATAAAGGCAGAAGTGATGTGAATAATTTCAACTAAAAATTAACCATTACTCAAAAAGTTTACTCACTGTGTCAGTCCAAACACAGGGAGTCCTCATTCTGCACAGTGGAGTGGTGGGAGACTATAAAAATGACTGTGCAAGCTAAACCATGCAACGGGGTCTTACCAATCAAGAAGAAAATTACAATTGTTCTCTGTGACCTTTAATTTTTATCAAAAAGTTTATTTAAATTATAAAAAATGTATAACTGTTATAAATATATGAAAATAACAAGAATAAAACTAGTATTTACCCTATAACTTAAAACATCACAAACATTGAGAATTAAAGTGTTTTATTTCTTTGTAAAAAAATTATCTAGAATAGTGGATGCACTGGACAAAAGTGGGAATATGTTAAGGAATACTTTAACTGACTAAAACTGCACTACACCTCAGACCAAACGGAACTCATACCCCTAGAATTGACCTCTTAAACACAAACTTGCGTAGGGAAAAACTCAAAGCCACAAGT